TTCTCACAGTTACCACAAACTAATTAGTTCTCATTTGATTAGGCTCATATATATATATATATATATATATATATATATATGGGAGTGTTCAAATAAAAACCACTCAATTTGTAAAAACCGTGAAAACTTTATTCAACCAATCATAATTTTTCATTTTGTTCATTTTTTTGTAATTATAAGAGGTTGATTAACCATTTTTATTGTGGAGAGGGTGTTAATCATGGATATTATCATCTTCATTATTTTAATTTTAGAGAAATACATGAAACAGTTTTATTGAATTTTCATTAAATATTATATGAAACAATTTCATAAACATATATGAAACAAATTCATCAAAAAAATATTATATGAAATAATTTCACAAGATTAAACAATTTCATGAAAAAATTTCATAAGATTAAATAATGAAATCGACGTATGAAGGTGGTTTATACGGTTTTTACAAATGAGAGTTGTTTTCTTTTGATCGCTCCTATATATATATATATATATATATAGAGAGAGAGAGAGAGAGAGAGAGAGGAGCGTTCAAATAAAATTCTGCCCCATTTGTGTAAACTGTGTAAACCAATCTCATTCATCCATTTTCTTGATCAATGGCCAAGATTAGTTTACTTTATTTTAGAAAATTAAAAATATATATATATATATATATTAAAATTTTATTTTATTTCAACAGTAAGAACAAAAATGGTAAACAAAAAATTTAACATTTGGTAACATCCTTCTAGATATTAATGACACTATTTTCATTTTTTAAATCAATATATTATTTTTAACTTTAAATCACATCCATCAATAAAACGTATTAAAAAAATGAATATAACACACCATATTCAATTATATGGAGTGAATCGTTTTAAATTTTGAATTACATTATATGAACAAAATTGGTTTCACCATGAAAATGTTTCGGTTCTCATAATTTATTTGCAACAAGACCCGGTTTCACGTTCATGAAACCTGTTTTATTTTCCTTTTCAAAATGCACCGGTTTCATTTTTCTTTCCATCAACAAAATGGATAAACTACACCATCAATGCAACAGTTTCACTATAAAAATGTTTTGGTTCACCTAATTTATTTGCAACATGAACCGGTTTCACGTTCATGAAACTTGTTTCATATCCTTTTCATATTTTTTTCCAAAATGCACCGGTTTCATTTTGTTTCTCATAAAAAAAAGATTAACTACACCATCAATGCAACGGGTTCACCATAAATATGTTTCGATTCATCTAATTTCTTTGCAACATGAACTGGTTTCACGTTCATGAAACCTGTTTCATTTTGTGGATCTTTTTTGTTCATCTACGTTTTGATGATTTTTTTCTATAATTCAATTGTTTCATCAAGACACGTTTCCTGATTATAACTCATGACAATATATGAAATCCAAATTTTTAATATTTTAATATAACTAATTATTTAAATGTTACCATTTATATAATTTCCTTTATTACGTTTCCTTAATTAAGATTTACTAATAACTTTCATATTTAATAGAAAATATTGTAAATGACCGAAATACCCTTATTGATTAAATTTAATTAGAAAAAAAAGGAATTTTCCTATCGGTCGAAATTAGTTTACACGGTTTCTTAGAAATACACGGTTTTCATTTGAACGTGCCCATATATATATATATATATATAGAGAGAGAGAGAGAGAGAGAGAGAGAGAGATAGAGAGAGAGAGTTTGTTTCAAATACAACTCATCGCATTTGTACAACCAATACAACCCAATAAATTAAGATATTTATGGAAATGATGAGAGTTCATTAATTATGATCAATACTTTATATTAGAAAACAATCAAAACTTCTATAAAATCACATATTAATCAAATGAAATGGACGGTTGAGATTGGGTTGTATTGGTTGCATAAATGTCAAGGGTTGTATAATAACCA